ATTTATTGAGAGGGGGAGAGAGAGAGAGAGCAGGGCAGGGACAGAGAGAGAGGGAGAGAGAGAGACTCCCAAGCAGGCTCCACACCAGCAGCACTGACCCCGACGCAGGGCTCTAACTCATGAACGTGAGATCATGACTTGCACCAAAACCAAGAATCAGACACTTAACCAGCTGAGCCACCCAGGCGCCCCACAAGTGCATTTTTTGTGCACTGCATGGAAAAGGAAGTCTGTGAGCCGATGGGCCTGTGTAGATAACTGTTATCAGAAGGCCTCTGTGCATGACTTTTTCTTATTATTGATTTTGTGGGGAAAGTTCTCCCCCAAGGAGCCCCTTCTTTTCAGAGGCAGTCATCCAGAAAGGATCTTTCTGACTTGATTGGAAGTCCTCAGTGGATTCTGATCGTATTGCCTGGACTGCTTGAGCCGGTGAAGGGAAGTTTCCAGGAGGAGGAAAGCAGTATGGGAAGACAAGGAGGTTTGTTGAGTGAGGATCACGGGCTAACCAATAATGATTGGAATCCAAAGGTTTTGGGTTTGTTTTCCCATTTACTTTCTACAGCAGGATCAGACACCACAGTGTAAGGGCTGTGGCTCAAACAACCTCGCATGATTGTTTTTTTCTTTGTAACTTCACTAGATCAATTTAATAAACATTCACCCATCTCTTCATCCGACAAATATAATGCAGACATAAATTGCATAGGGAGGGTTTGCGACTTGAATGGGTGGTAAGCATAGGCCTCTTTGAGAAGATAACATGGCAGCAAAGGCTAGAAGGTCAGGAAGGTGTGAGGCAGGTCCGTATCTGGAAGAACCAACTGGGTAGAGGGGGATAAGCCAGTGCCAACACCCTGAGACCTGAGTGTACCTGAAATGTTCCAGAAATAGCAATGGGGAGAGTGTGGCTAAGAGGAGGGGAGCAAGAGTGAGAGTAATAGGAGACGAGTGTTGCTGTGTGCCAGGCTCTGTCTGAAGGCCCTGGGAAAACATGGGACCGTATGGCTAGTCCCCCGTGTCCCTAGAGGGGGACCATTTTATATGGGAGACAGACAGGTAAGTAGATAATAGCAAGCAAGCGCTGATATGATACTAGTAACATTTATTGAGAACGTACCGCCCAATACGTTACTCCCATGTGTGTTTGCAAAGACCCTGAGAGAGGAATCCTATTCTAAAACCTAAAGACGATGCGTTAGAAATCAGAAGGAGTACAGAACTGTACCGGATGGCAGTGGTCAAGTGCACGCAGGGCGGCGTAGGTATTAGAGACTGCGGGAAACCTCTCTAGAGGAACTCACCCTCCACTTATATTCTGAAAGACGAGAAGATAAACTTTGACCGTCAAGGGACAGAGGGAGGCCTGAAGCCTGAGGAAGCAGCGAGAACAGAGCCCTGCGGGCGTGAAGAGGCAGGGCTGGAGCTGAAGGCAGGTTCGGATTGCACGACTGGAGTGTGGGCTGGAGGGCACAGGGCAGGGGCTCACAAACGCAGTCTGCAAGGATGTGCACGCCGGCCAAGGTGTTTGGGCTTCATGCTTAGGGCAATAAGGAACCAATGAAAGGCTCTAGAAAGTATGTGAATGGGAAATTCATTCTGTCCGCTTTCAGGTGGAGGCCAGCCCCCTGCGAAACAACTCATAGTCAAGGTTTTCTCGTTTGTTCTCTCTGGCCTGGTTTTCCTACCTGTGGGGGGTGCACACAGGCTTTGGGGGACCGGAGAGAATGCCAAGGCATGCGGGGAGAAGCTGGCTGGGGCTTGAAGCCAGGGAAGAAGGGAGGGGGGCTGCTGTGCTCAGCCCGGGGGTGGCCAAATCCGGGTGTCATCCAGGAGTCCCAGCAACTAGTGCTCGGATAGACAAGCCCTCTGACTTTTCCAAGCAGGTGACGTCTCAGAGGTCGTTTTTCCCGTGTACTGTAGAGCACCTCACCGCCACGGCAGCCTCTCAGGCTCCGTGTAGCCCTTCTGCGGCTTCCCTGGGCAGCAGGCCTCGATATCTAATTGCCTTCTGGTTGCCCATGGTGTGTTCTCGGCATTTTAAGCTATGTCCGAGGCCCAGCTCGTTAGCCGTCCTCACAGACCGGTTTCTTTTCCTTGGCTTTTATTTTATGTATATATATATACACATACATATATATATATTTTATATATATGTATATATATGTATGTGTATATATATTTATTTACATATATATGTATATATGTTTATATATAACATTATATATTTATATTTCATATAGCCATATAATATTATAGAGCATTTATATTTATAACATATATATTTATATTTATATAATATTTCATTTTATAACATATATTTGTTTTATATATTTATTTTACATATATATGTATATATGTATATATATTTATATATAAACATATATTTGTTATTTATATATTTATATATAAATATTATATATTTATATTTATATATATTTGAGCATTTATAAATATTTATATTTTATATATACTTCATAACATATATATTCATTTTTATATATTTATTTACACATATATGCATATGGCTATACATTTATTTTACACATATAAATTCTTATTTTATTTTTTTCCAACGCTTATTTATTTTGGGAGAGACAGGCATGAACGGGAGGGGCAGAGAGAGGGAGTGGCTTCACAGAATCGGAACAGGCTCCAGGCTCTGTTTCATCAGCCCAGGAGCCTCGACACGGGCTCGAACTCACGGACCCAGATCGGTGATCTGGCTGAAGTCGACGCCTGAATTTAGCCACCCAGGCGCTCTCTATAAATTTTATTTTAATAAAAGTTTTATCATTTACTTTTATTTCTATATATTTATTCATACCATTTATTATATAAATTTATTTTGTATATATATTTATATAAATTTATTTGTATATATGAATTTATTTATATGTATATTGTTTGTATATATGAATTTATTTATATTTATTAATTTACACCCCGTTAGAGTAGACTCCTGCCCCTTACCCATGTAGCCCACCCCTTCCCACAACCCCTCCAGCCACCCCTCTGTTCTCTATATTTAAGAGTCTTTATGTTTTGTCCTCCTGCCTGTTTTTATATTATTTTTTTGCTTCCCTTCCTTATGTTCATCTGCTTTGTGTCTTTGAACTCATATGAAGTCATATGATATTTTGTCTTTCTCTGACTAATTTCACTTAGCGCACAATCTTCTAGGTCCATCCATGAAGTTGCAAATGGCAAGATTTCATTCTTGATTGCTGAGTAATACTAAGTGTATAGATATACCACATCTTTATCCATTCATCAGTTGATGGAAATTTTAAATTTTCCATACTTTGGCTATTGTCGATAGTGCTTAAACATGGGGGTGCATGTGTCCCTTCAAAGGGGAAAGGCCTGTATCCCTTGGATACAAATGCCTAGTGGAGCAATTTCTGGGTCATAGGGTAGTTCTATGTTTAATTTTTGAGGAACTTCACATACTGTTTCTTTTCCAGAGTGCCACACAACAGTTTGCATCTCTCACCAGCAGTGCAAAACAGACCCTCTTTTTTTCTTTTCAAAAGATCCTCACCATCATCTGTTGTTGCCTGAGTGGTTACTGCTAGCCATTCCAAGTGAGGTGGGCATCTCATTGTGGTTTTGATTTGTATTCCTTGATGGTGAGCGATATGGAGCATTTTTGCATGTGTTGGTTGGCTGTGTGGATGTCTTCTTTGGAGAAGTGTCTATTCATATCTTTTGCCCATTTCTTCTCTGGATTCATTTTTTGGGTGTTGAGTTTGATAAGTTCTTTATAGATTTCAACCCTTTATCTGATATGTCATTTGCAAATATCTTCCCATTCTGTCAGTTGCCTTTTGGTTTTGCAGATTGTTTCCTTTGCTGTGCAGAAGCCTTTTATTTTAATGAGGTCCCAATAGTTCATTTTTGCTTTTGTTTCCCTTGCCTCCAGAGACATGTTGAGTAAGAAGTTGCTGTGGCCAAGGTCAAAGAGGTTTTTGCCTAATTTCTCCTTGAGGATTTTGATGGCTTTCTGTCTTACATTTAGGTCTTTCAACCATTTTGAGTTTATTTTTGTGTAGGGTGTAAGAAAGTGGTCCAGGTTCATTTTTCTGCATGTTGCTGTTCAGTTTTCCCAGCACCACTTGCCAAAGAGACTGTCTTTATTCCATTGGATACTCTTTCCTGCTTTGTCAAGGATTAGTTGGCCATACATTTGTGGGTCTATTTCTGGGTTCTCTATTCTGTTCCATTGATCTGAGTGTCTTTGTGCCAGTACCATACTGTCTCGATGATTACAGCTTTGTAATACAGCTTGAAGTCTGGAATTGTGATGTCTCCACCTTTGGTTTTCTTTTTCAAGATTGCTTTGGCTATTCGGGGTCTTTTCTGGTTCCATACAAATTATAGGATTGTTTGTTCCAGCTCTGTGAAGAATGCTGGTGTTATTTTGATAGGGATTGCTATTTTATACATATTTTAAAAGTTCATTTACCTATTTTGAGAGAGACAGAGACAGAGACAGAGAGCGCAAGCAGGGGAGGGGCAGAGAGAGAATCCCAAGCGGGCTCTGCACTCAGTCCCAATCCCAAGAGTCAGACACTTAACCAACTGAGCCACCCAGGAGCCCCTCTTCCTCAGCTCTTAGTTTTGGTTGCCTGGTTATCACCATTCTTTACTCAGGCCAAAAACTAGAGGTTACACCTGTCTTTCTGGATGTGTCATGTGTCTTTGAGAACCACTGCCCCTGTTGGCCTTGGGTTTCTCCTTTATTCGCCCTTCTCTTCAAGCATTAAAAAAACCTCTAGTACCAGGGTACCTGGGTGGCTCAGTCGGTTAAACGGGTTGAACGCCCTGCTTCGGCTGGGGCCATGATCTCATGGTTCACAAGTTCAAGCCCTGCACGGGGTTCTGTGCTGACAGCTCAGAGCCTAGAGCCTGCTTCACGTTCTGTGTGTGTCTCTCTCTCTCTCTGCCCCCTCCCCTGTTCACACTCTGTCTCTCTCTCTCTTTCTCAAAAATAAATACAAAATTTAAAAAAAAATCTAGTACCTGTTTGTCCACACTGGTGGACTGTGCACTTCTTGAGAGTAAAGCCTAGGTGTTCTACAGCTATAGCACATAGTAGTTACTCACTGAATGCATTTGTATTCTATTCAATGGACATTCCAGACACACTTCATTAGGATCTTATAGGGCAAAGTGTCATGCTTTTTTAGTTTTCTCTCACTAATGCTAATTATTATGAATTTGCATACAAGGTTGGGAGGCTAAAACAGCAAAAATATCAGGACCGGCGTTTATAAAGCTGACTTTAGACAAAACCCAAAATGAGAGATCGCACTTGGGTTTTCTCACCAGGCCCCACTCTTGTCCTAATTGTCTACGTTTCGTTCCTTCCTTCACTCCATCGCGGCCCCC